TAAAGCGCTTTGCGTTCCTTGGGAATGTAATTCGCTTAACTCTCGTACCCTTTGTTTGTTGTCCACAATTCCCGTCACGATTTTGTCAAACTGCTTCAGGAACTGTTCCTTGTTCATAGGAGATGACATACCTCTGAAAAAAAAAAGGGAAATAGCATATCAAAATAAAATTTCTTAGGCTGTTTGAAGAGTGTATGAATGTGACTAACTAATTTTAGTTCCGTTGATGCGTTAGAAAAACAAACCAATTGTTAGAAGCACAAATGAATAAAGTTGGTAAGTTTCTTGAGAAACTGTGGTGCTGCGTCGGTGGGAGAGTACAAGTGTTAACAACTGAGTTGAAAACGTAAATTGACCACCGTAAAGAGTTTAAAGGCTGACGTTTCGAGCGTTAGCCCTTCGTAGGAGCACAAACAAGTTAGGTAACATTCTGGTTAGAAAATGGATATACAATTCTAATTGATAAAAACTTATTGAAATGACAGAGGTCTTACTGTTCAAAGGTGTCATGGATGGAGTTAAGCAAGTTAACCTGTAAAAAAAAAGAGATTAAAAAAAATTTAAACTCTCCATCACTGTAAATGAAGTATACGAAAACCTCAGATAATGATAATACTGCATATATACTGCGCATGCTCCATGTTACTGTACGTCTGTTCAGTAATAGATAACAATTGAGGTCAAAATGCAATAAGAATGAAGCGGCACACGAGGCGCAGGGGAGGGGTGGATGGGGAGCAAAACAAAGTAAGTTAACACTTCTAACCTCCTTCCCCAAGTACAGCTTCGTGTCATCCAAAGTGTTGTAAAGAGTGAAAAACTGCTTCGTTTCCTTATGAGTTCCAGCCACTAGGAATAAGTAAGGAACATCGTTATCATATTACCTGTATCACAGTATATTAGATTGCAGGTAACACAAAGAACACAGCCAGTAAGTTCATACACAACGGTCAAACGTCGGGCATGAGCGAGGGGATCAGTTTCGGCCAGCCGCGTGCCAACTTCCCGCGAAAAATTTCAAAGGAAAACACAAGAAACTACCGCTGTCTCCCCAAAAAGGACGAAAGAAAATTGAAACGTTCGGAGAAATCGTAAAAGGAAAAAAGAGTCGGGAAAAGGAAAACTTGCGAGTTTTTGAACACAAAGGTTTTTCAAGAACGGGTAGCTTGTTGATTTACCATTCTGTTTTGAGCTTTGCCAAACAAGTCATACAATGGTATTTACTGGATTGTGTGGCTGTTTGTAGCTCGTGTGTGGCAACTTGGTTCCCACCGCCTGAAAGCACACCACGAACACGCCACCTAGTCATTACAACGTTCGCACATGCGCAGACGTTTGACGCTGTGTAGCATAGCAGCGCGCACCCATAGCAGCGCGGCAGAGGGAATTTCTCTTTATAAAACATTTCAACTTTCGCGTTGAATTATTACAGAATATGGTTTGTGTTTTCAGCGTTCATTGAGATACGAAGCCACTGGCCATTTTGGAGAGCACTCATGATGTAACAGTTGCTCTCGGCCGCGCCACGTTAACTGACAGATAATGCATTATGTACCGTGATTGTAGAGTTCCACAAATCTTCTCTGATACTGAGTCAGCTCTGCACGAGAAGGCACCTCGTCAATCTTCCTCTGAAGCGAAGATATTTCACGGTTCTTTCGAGCCTGAAGAACAAAAACAGCATCGACTAAACAACAGGAAAAAAAAACTTAAGGGAAAGAAACGTTATGGCCCACGAAGAAGCTCTCCATATGTAGAATTTTTCCCGAAGATTTGGGTGCCAATATTCCGCGCGTTATCCCGCGCATGACCACAAGCGTGTTCCACGCGCAGATCACGCGTGATTCCACGCTTCTCCTGCGCATTTTTCAAGTAAATGGAGGACTAGGACAAGGAAACACTCATACACCATCAAGATGTTTAAAACCATTACCAGCAAAAGCCTTATTTTTTCCAACTTTGCTTTATCAGCCTCGTATTGTTTGCTGATCAGCTCCAATCTTTCCTGAAAAAGAGAGAAGACATAGATGAGGTCCCTACACAATTCGTTCCTTGCTTTACTTGCTTTACCAACAGTACCTTCTCTTCGATGTCATCTTCAGATCCTTGAGATTTAAGTTTTTCCAAATTGTTCTGCAAGCGAGCCATTTCCTCCTGAAACAAACGAAATGATAGTGACACATTAAACACAATTAAAAAAAACTGGTAGTTCTCAGACATGGTAACTTTTTGAAAAGATGTAAAAATTAACATTTTCCTTTCGGGTGTCAGAAGCCGTTTGTGATTTACACCAATCTCGACTACCACTTGGTCACGTGCGTCTTCCCGCGCTGCGTTCACTTTAAGTTCTCATTGGCCCCTTGTTACATTTACTGTTGTTCTGATTGGCTGCAGCGATAGCTAGAGTTGCTTTAAAAACAATCAATCACACAGTGCTCTTCCAATTGAATGTCTAGCGACAGATTTCAGCGATTTTATCGTAAACACCTTCAAGAGACAA